TTTAAATAAGGGATTATCAGCTTCCTGCTTAAATCAAACATATAACGTCGTATCAATGAGTACTAATGCCATACAAAAATTTAGTTGTTTATGCAGACAAACAGTTTTTGAAATCTACTGGTATAATTATACGAAAATTGAGATTGAGGCATTTACTGGTACATAATCCATATACTTTGTTACATAATTTTGCAGATAAAAAGAAAAGTTTAATTACCACTAGATAAAACCAACATGAAAATGAAAATAGTTACTGAATCTGCGCACATTTTTATGCGCGTTATTCTCTTCCTCTTAGTCTTTCTACATTATTGTCTCCCATTCCATGTAACTGTATATCGAGATACTACATTAAAATATAAGCATTGAATAAAAAAATAAGTTAGCAAGAAAATTGACAATATCGAGATTCTAAGATGTTTTTATTTGATAATTGATGATACGAAAGAAGCAGTTGTTTTATTTGAAAGAAAGATTACTCATTTATTACAATTACACATTTCATATTTCTGTGTGGCTAATAGGAAGGACACCTATAAAAAAATACATATAGTTACTTAAAATAGATTATTAAATATATGAGTTTAGAACTGACGAAATTCAAGAGTATCTGTCGCATAATTCTTATTATTATTTAGAAAAGGTTTCATTCACATATGCAACACATTGTCTGTTGTTTATTTGAAATTTGTAGGCACTGATCAAGACGAATAATATCCTAGCCACTTGGACTGAAGATTTATAATTTAAGTGTATTACGAACGGCCATGGCAAAGTCTTTCAGGTAGTCATTCATTTTCCAGACTTGAAGCATAGAAATTTTTTCCAAGTATGCAATAAAAAAGTTCTTTCGCGAGCCGTAATACGAAATCAAGAGAAAAATATAATGGTGCAAATGTTGCAAATTCTAGAGACTTCATGAAATCATAATAAGAAACAAACAAAAAAGATATATTGTACATATAAAAATAATTACGCTTATTGTATCTCTTACTTTTAGGTAATTAACTAAAAAATAACTGTAATTAATGTTGTTGTGGTAGGTGCACAGCGATGTGTATGAAAATTTATGAATTCGGGACGATTTTAGAGGAGGAGTAATAAAGAAATTTTATCCTGGATAGGACTTATTATTTTGTTAAGAATTTCACTCGCCTGTATATTATATAACATTTTGTGAAATCTAATTTCTGCCACATTTGTATATATACTTTAGGTATCTGATTATTTCTCTCGTCTTTCTCAAACTCACCATTGAACATGAAGTGCTATTTCACTTTTCTTAATTATATTCACAAATTTTCAATTAAGTCGTATTTCATTACCTTTCTCATTATTTTGTTTCTTTTCCCATTCATATCTTATGTTTCTTTGCAAAATTCATTTATGAAAAGAAGAAAATATCTTCCGTCATACGATTTTGAGAAAGACGAGTGATATTATGCGGAAAAATATTTCCAAGAATGTACTTGTAAAAATCATTTGTTTATTTTAGTTGGAACGCTTTAAACGAAATATAGTGGTACATGGATTTTTATATAAAATTTATTAATGTTAAAAATATTGACCCAATAGCCATTTTACAAATGAAACGTCGAAAATCTTCAAAGGTTTGATCGCTCCAACCAAAGACTGAGTTCGCTTTACATTTTCTGATTTGGCAAACACGAAGTTTCATCGATAACGAGGCCGATATCTCGTTGCTTTTAAGTAATTTATGGTAAATAAGCTAAACAATATGGTAATCAAAGTATTACTTAGCAATATTTGTGAAATGTTTTATTATCCAAGAAAGTTTTTGTCAAATGATTTATATAGTTGATCGATGTGATTCAGAAAAAATAATTCGGTGGAATTGAACTGTGAGACTTCGTGTTTACCCAATTTGTTGCATTCGCGGAAAACAATACTGTACCATGTAAGTAGGACTAAGCCGAATCAATGCAACTATTTAGAGCGATCGAACAAGACCTATAATCGTTTCGTGTGAAAAAAAAAAAACAAATTATTAAGAGAAAGAATGAGCTTACAAATATAATGTTCAACGTGAAGCTCTTAAAAAAGTTCTGAGTGTTAAAAAAACTTTTACGATAATATCGACAGGTGTCGAAATGCGGTGTATCTATTATACGTGTATTTTATTCTGTGAATACAGTAGGACTTCTATGTCGCTGTGCGACAGGAAGATTTAATTGGAAAAAACGCTCCAACCAAAGCTCCAGTTTGAACGAAAGTTTGACGAGAGTATAGAGAATTTTTCTCAAGATTGTATAGTCGGAGAACGTAAAGGGAAGGTGTATCAAATTCTATATATGTAGAATGTTTGATCTAGACAACCCTTTTATTTGTTCTTCGATACATACATCATCTGCTCTCTCGTCCCCTGATAACACCTTTCACTGAGTGCATGTATCAAATTTAATTTGATCCAAATAAAATATCATCAGATATAAATTAAGGCGTGAATTATATTTATTGCTTATAAACCGTCGAGATCTAACAAATAAAAATTACATTCCTAAATTTATTTGCCTGTCTCTCTCTTTTTCTCTCTCTGTCTCTCTGTCTCTGTCTCTGTGTCTCTCTCTCTCTCTCTCTCTCTTTTCTATAACTCTGATATGCTTGTAATATTGTAGTACATGCTTTTTGCAATAATAATAATAAACTTTAAATTCTTTTATCGACGGAAAGCGAGAAATATTTTGAATAAAATAGTCAAAAGTGCTTGCATTTATTTGCCTTTTCATATTTTTAGACAAGTAGAGATGTTATCAGGTAGATGAGTTGTTTCCTATTAATTACATATAAAAATTTAAATTCAATTATAATTTAGCATTAATGTCTATAATAAATGTGATTAACACTTGAATCTGTTAGTTAATATAACTAATTGAATGTGTATATATTATATATATACATTGCAATTTGATTATTAAACATACCCAGATTATGTAATTTCAACAAATTGGCAAAATTATAAATAAATTAATTATTGTACATTATTCAAGTAAAAGAAGAAAAATGAAAAAAATAGTTCTTCAGTATAAAACATATATATGTGATATACATCTATGTAATTCATGTCAACAAGTCGAAGTTTACCTTTTATTTTATCTATTGTATTTACATTGCAATCACATTATAATGAATGTTTTACGTATTATACGACAACACAGTATTTGCTATACTAACTATTAAAATATATAAATGATTTGTTTCCTAAAAAATCGTAGGTGAAGAAGGAGCAGGACGCAATTGCATTTCACATATAACGCTAACAAGAAAATATTCGTAACAAACATAAATTCAACAAAATTTAAACAGGCAAATATTTTAAAATAAATTCAGATTACATCGCGTAGCTTTACCTTCCTAGCTGAGAATAATTATAAAATAAAATTTGTTTATGATGATGCTTTGTATACTTAATTCTTGCTCGAGGAACTTGAAAGAAATAGAAAAATTACATTTTCTTTGTACATTTTTTAAAATAAATTTGTTCACAGGTTTATTCTTTTATAAATATCACATTCATGCTATATAGAATTCTATGCAATTATCTTGTATAAAATTGTGAAAATAGAATTTTTTATAACTTTTTATTATGTTTCAAATATGAGGATTTTTTTATTTATAGTATTTGCGTTTTTGCAAATTTTCAAATCCGTTTTGCACCATTGAAGGTTATATACCTTTTTTTTATTTTTAGGATAATCAGATAAAAATGCCAGCAAATATGAATATTGTTTTATTTATTTGTATATTTTGTATTATAACGTTGACTTTAACAAACTTTATATAGAGAGAATGTTATTACAAATTAAAGTGTTAGAAATCTGTTTCTCGATAGAGGCATTATAATCTGCAAAATTTTATACCTAGAAACTTATAATTCTGACTATTTCTGACTAATTGATCTCATTATATACTCATTACGATATCCTCCGCTGCTTAGTATAGTATGAATAGTACTTGATACTAAATTATATAATTGTACTTATTGTAAACATATTAGATTTAAAAAAGCAAAAAGTCAAATAAGAAATTCCTTCCGGTAATAAAGCCATATACGTATGTATGTATAGATACATATGTATATCGTAAATCATATGGATAAATATGGCGGCAAAACATTGGTTTGGTAAACATCTTATTTATTACTTCTGTTAAAATATACTGTAGTAAGTATATACAATGTTTTATGGAAATGAATACGTTTTATATAATTTTTTATGTGTGATACATACAATGTCAGTATAAACCTATAAAACAAAGAAGTTCTTTTTATCAAAGTTATTAATAAACAATTATTGCTGGCTACAACAGAACAATTTATTTTGCTAGTGCAATGCTGATCACAAGTGGAATTTTATTTAATTTGAGCATTCTGTGTATCTTTGATATACATGGAAGCAGAATTCAGGAAGAAGTAAACAAATCCGGTGACGTCGTTCCTTTTCTACTTCCGTCTCGAAGGAGGGAACAATTCGCGGGAATAAAAGAAGCCGCATCCTGTCAAAAGTCTGTGTGTTAGTCAGAACTTCTGAACGCGTGTTCACTGTAAACTGAACTATAGCCTTATCTATATTCTACGTATGCATACATTATGTACGTATGTGTGTCGTATGTCGCACATAAGTCGGAACCCGCGCTCGCGAGAACATATAAGAATGATAGCAGTGTAGCACGTAGGTTTACTTCTACAATTAAATATCGCTTATCATAATGTAAATATAAGATTTTCGACATTCTATAAGATGAGTCAAGACTAATTAGTCAGAGATGTTTTATGGGTGTGGTTTAGTCTTCCTTTTTATGTTATTGATAAAAATAAAGAAATTGATATACATCTGTGGAAAATAGAAGCATTTATTAAAGTGATAGTTTTTTAATATTATATCACGCTTTACTTATATATGTAACAAAGAGAGTCAAAGATTGGCATGGACAATAATGATTTAAAAAATGCAATTATTTTATTGTGAGGCAAATATAAAACAATGTCACAACAAACACGCATTGATGAATTCTACAAATCAATCGGCAAACAAAAATCAACTGTGATAAATGTTAAAAAATGTGCTAGGTCAAAAAGTATACCTTATTCAAAAAGGGTTAGCTGACGTTTATATTCTTTTTAACCCTATTCTTTTTATAAAATAAGATATTGTATGAAATTAAATTATATCTTTTTTTACTTTTATAGAGGAAGGAGGAAAATGAAAAAACAAACGTTTTATTGTCAGCAACTAAACAATCGGATTGTACAGTTCTATATGAGAAGTTGAATAAAATGCATGATGTTAACTTAAATGATGCAAAAATGACTCAAACTAATGTTCAGATAGCAAGCAATAATGTATCATTGTGTGGAAATGATTATTTAGGAGGAATATCACAGCATGAACTTGATAAAGAATATGAACTACCAATGATTGATACAATAAATGAAATACAAAGAGAAATTTTAAATGAAAATGGAAATTGCTTGATAACATCAAATAACAAGTTAGAAAATTCTTCAAATTTTAATAGACAGACGCCACCAAATAATATTAGTATGAAATTACAAAAAACACCAGAAAGTAAATCAAGAAACAATAGTTATGTGAAAACATCATCACCTATTATTAAAGACAATTGTCATTTAAAGGATATTCCAAATAAGAAACTAAGAACTCCAGATAAAAATATTTTTCTATTTAGAAATTCTAACAGCTCAACACCTTCCTCAACACCTAAAAAATCAAATTATATTTCCGAAGTATCACCTAATAAATCTCCAAGAGTTAATGCAAGAAAGAAACTGTTTGGTGAAAATATAGATACTAACATTTTAATTCAGGCTATTACATATATGAATTTAGCAAAGCAAGATAATATTTCACATGAGTTTGATCTAAAGAGTATATATTTCACAAAAACATTTGATACATATAGTGACATAGATAATAACATAAATAGTGAAGTTGCAACAAAGTATAAATTAAGTGACATAAACTTATGTGATGATTTGAATTCAAAAACTTTATTTACTACTATTTTCCTTGTACTCTCTAATCCTATCAATTGTAATTATTTCAATGAAGATGAACTTGATTTTATATTTTCTATAATCACACTTCCTAAAGACGCTCAAATGTTATTGGCAAGGATGATAAAAAGAAAGAGGACGTGGTTTAGGAAAAGTAGCGTAGTTTACCCAGAAATAGCTACAGAATTAAAGCATATTTTTGAAGTTCTTGCTTCACGATCTATTTGTAGTTTTGATATTAAAAATGAGAAATTAGATACAATACTTGAATTATTGCAAGTAACTGAAATACAGCAACTTTGTAAAAAGATGAAAATTAATCCTAAAGGAAACAAAAAAAGTAATATCCAAAAGTTATTACAATTGTCAAATAAAAAATCTTTGTTTCCTGGAATGAAGACTCCAGGTAGTATTTTATATGATTCAATTTTGGACATAATAGATTTTTGTGTATGTATAAATTTCAAAACATGGAATATTATTGATAAGATAATAATACTGTTGATGCCAAATCAAGATCCAGCAAATAGTCTGGCAGATACATTTCATATGTTACGTGATATTTATTTAGGGAAAATAATATTCCCAACAAATTCTGGGCATTATTTTCCAATATTTTCTTCTAGATTACATCTAACGAGGTAAACTTACTTTTACAAATTAGCAATAGATTTAAAAATAGAGATAAGTTTTTATAATTTTCATTGACCTAAATTTATTTGCATTTGTAGTTATGTAGCAGTCAGATCTGTATTATCTACAACATTACAATATATAGAGAAAAAAAATTGGAAAGAAGTAAAAAATAATGGCAACTATGCTATGGATGTATTAAAAAATTTATTGGAGAATGATTCATTAAGGTAATTTAAATTCTACTGTTGTAATGGAAAAGGTGTTCAATAATCTCAACTTTAATTTTTGTAGATTAGAAAATTCTATGCTTCCTAAACATGTTACTCGTTATATGCCAGCATTTGTGTGGATGAAAATTATTTCCATATCTATAGAGGCATTTAAAAAGGATGACGATAAAAAGGCCAAAGATGGAAAAAATGGAGATGGAACAAACAAAAATAAAAAGCGAGTGGTAGAGATCTTATTGTTCTTATTGGAGCAAAATTGTTATATGCATACATGTAAAGGGAAATGGTATGATGAATTAGCTCTCATTGAAATGCATCACCACAAAGACATAGAAACATGTGCATCCATTATAATAAAAGCCTTAAATACAGAAAACATAACACAAATAGATAAAATAAATCTTATGAAAAGAGCAAGAAAAATTGTGAAGAAGAAAAATGGAATTAAACCAAGCACGAGAGATACTCTTAATAAAATATTAGGTAATCATTGTATATCGGAGGATGTTATATCACCCATGTTCTATCAGAGCAGGTCCGTCACTATATACGCCACAGAAATGCCAAGGTAAATTTAATTACATATGCGTTGCCTTTTTTATTTTTAGATATAACGTGAAATTAAATTGTTCTAGAAATACTGCAGGCAGTAAAAGTACTTGGTGTATAAAAAGTAATACTGATGGTCAAAGTTATGGATCGGTAGAAACTGTTGCATTCCACTATTATCAGAAACAAGGATTCCCTGATGGATTGCATTTGGAAGGTGCATTACCGATTACTCTATTTTGTACTTTGTTTTGGGAAGAATTGTATGATGTGCATGTTCCTGGAGCATTTTCATCACCATATCAAGAAGCTCCGAGTGATTTATTTACAGGCGAATTCTATGAAAATAGGAAAGAAAAAATAGATACGAAACTTAAAATTATTGGTAACTTCAATTCTGAGTTTTTAAGCTCTTTCATGCAAGAAAAGTTCGCGAAATTTGGACAATATCAATCGATAATGTCATCAAGTCCAATTAAGTCAGATAGTTTACAACTGAAGGTGCATATTTTACTGATTCTATTGTTTTATCACCCAACATATCATAAAACTTAATAATGCACAATGAAAAACTATTTTATAGCAAATAGTACATTGTTTGGGAACTCAGGGTGTAATAGGGATTTGTAAACGACTGATTGACAATTTCAAACTCTGGAAAGCTGGATTTCCAGATTTAATTGTATGGAATTATGATACCAAAAGGGTGAGTATTTATTTAATAAATAACATTGAGAAAAAAGGATTAAGAAATATATTTTTATTCATACTTTTATTCATACATTTTACAAAAAATGAAATTTGTTATAAATTAATATTTTATTCTCTTTTAATTTCAAAATACATATTTTTTCCTAAAGCATAAAATTATAGAAGTGAAAGGCCCACGAGATGTCCTTTCAACCAAACAACAATCATGGTTGGAGTATTTACACCATCTTGAACTAAATACCGAAGTATGCCTAGTACAAGGTAAACTATTATAACTTCTATGTTCGTTTAACTTTTGGGAATCAAGGTTCTAAAGCTTCTGCCACAGTAATGGTGCAGGGACCTTGGAAATGGTACCTTTAAATAATGCGTATATTATTTTGTTGCAGATATACGTCATATAAATAGTTCAAGTAAAAAAGTACAGGACTTCGAAAATTATTTATGAATGTTTTGCATGCATTTCAATATCTCAGGATTGTCACAAGATATCATAAGATTTTGAATATATTACTACATTTTATATTTTCTTACATTACATGTATATATCTATTTTATCTACAGAATGTTTGCGATAATTATAATTTTAACTTACTCGAAATAGTTTGTAGCGGGAGTTGTTTCTAAGTTAAATTCAGCAACAGGAATTCCGCGTTGTGCTACTTGCGGTGCGAACATTGCCGCAGGATATACTATAGATGAAGTACCGATAATCAAGCAGACGTCACAGTTTTCAATGGCGGTATCTAATATTTAAATAGAAGACATTGTTATGTTATTAAAAAGTTATTTTATCTGAATGTTATAATTTATTGTTAAAATTTCTAATGTACATTTATATAGGTAGAAAAATACTCACAAGCTTGTTCCAGTATATAGTCATCCAAATTTTCACCAAACCATACAATGTAAGGTCTTAGTAAACCTTTACAATCTTCTTTTGCACATTTAGGTAGATCTTCTTTTGGAATATCAGAAATCATAATATTTGGATCTGGCGACCTATTCATATTTACATTAATAATATCTATAATGAAATATTAAAGATATCTTACCCTTTTCCCTCTAATGCAGGACATATTGGAATATTCTTATTTACAACAATTTCATGACAAATTGTACATCTAGTTTTATACAGCGAACCATGAAGCTCCACTACATCCTTGGCTCCTGCCCTTTGATGAAGTTCATCGATATTTTGTGTTACAATTGTAACATTTTTACCTTCTTTTAAATAACGATTTTGAAAAACTGCAATTGCTTCATGAGCCTAAAAACTTAATTTAATGTACAAATAATTTTTTAAGAAATGTGTACTAATTAGAAATAAAAATACCCTAAAAGAAAAATACCCTAATTAGAAATTAAAATACCCTATTAGGCTTAGCTTCACTCGCCACTCTTCTACGATATTCGTAAAATTCCCAAACTAAAGAAGGATTTGCTGCAAATGCTTCTGGAGTTGCAAGATTTTCAACTTGATATTTTCTCCAGAAACCACCAGCACCTCTAAATGTAGGGATACCAGATTCTGCAGAAATTCCACTACCACTTAATATTAACACGTTCTTTGCGTGCGCTAGTATTTCACGAAACGATTTCATAGCATTCATGGTTTGTGAATGTAGATTTTTCAAGGTTATTTTATCGAACAATTCTTGTATCAGCTGGTTTGTATGTAGTCAATGAAGTGACGTCAAATTTCAGGTTTCTTTCAGTTCATTAATTTAAACAAACTCCATATACATATCTTTCTAATAGATCTTTTTTAGGAACAAGAATGAAAATTATAAATATAATAAAATCATAAATACGGAACTTTTTAATTGATCTTTTGTTTCAAATTATAATTATATAAATACCCCAAAAATGTTTCTCAGAATAAATGTACCCAAAGTACGTTTATTTCAAGAAAACAGTGTTATTTTATATTGTCATACAACTATTCAGTGTAATAATTTTTTTAGACAATACCACGTAAATTTATAAATAAATCTTTTGGAAGTTACGAGGTTATTGTACCATGGCAAGTTTCTGAAATTAGAGAAGTACCACCATATATCCCAAAACCTTCTTACAGTCAATCTTCAATACCTCGTGATAGTCCAAAAAAACCCGAAATTAAAGATAAAAATCAAATACAAAGTATGAGAGACAGTTGTAGATTTGCTAAAAAAGTATTAACTCATATTAAACAATACATAAAGGTATACAATAACTACAAACATGAAATTTAACTAAAAGCGTAGTTTAAATAACAATCGTTATTTCAGCCTGGTATAACTACAGATGAATTAGATGCAATAGTCCATGAAATGATTATAAGCAATGGAGCTTATCCTAGTCCGCTTAATTATAAAGGATTTCCAAAGTCAATATGCACTAGTATTAATAATGTTGCTTGCCATGGAATTCCAGATAAAAGGCCATTAGCAAAAGGAGATATGTTAAATGTTGATGTAACAGTTAGTAGAAATAATATATTATATTATAATATATATTTTATGTACATATTTTTGCAGTTATAAATATAAAAATCCAAAGTAATGTTTTATTTCTTTTTAGGTATATTTACATGGTTATCATGGAGATTGTTCAAAAATGTTTGAAGTGGAAGAATGTGATGATGAAGCTAAACGTTTAATAAGTGTAACAGAATTGTGCTTAAAAAATGCTATTGATATTTGTAAACCTAATGAAAATTTCAGTAGTATAGGTAATGATTGTAATAATCTGAATATGCTGTAGGACTTTTATATGCTCTCCCTTAATTTTTAGGAAATGTTATAGAAGAAACAGCAGCTAAACAAGGATATTCTATAGTGCCAGTATTCGCAGGACATGGCATAGGTACTTATTTTCATGGACCACCAGATATTTTTCATTTTGGTATGTTGCTATTTTGGTATAATGTATAAACATACTAAGGATTTAAATATTTATTATATTATATTTAATTTATAAATGTTTTATGTTATTATTAGCAAATAATTTTGAAGGAAAAATGTTACCTGGGATGACATTTACTATTGAACCAGTTGTAAGTCAAGGTAGTAATGCAGTTAAAATTCTAGAAGATGGATGGACAGCTGTTACAATAGATAATGCACGAACTGCACAATGTGAACATACCATTTTGATTACTGATATTGGCTGCGATGTATTGACTCATTAATCTTGGAAATTTACTTTTTATTGCCTTAAATACATTTTGTAATAAAAGGTGATACAATAAGTTTGTTTAGTAGAATCATATTGTAAATACATTTTATTAAGAAAAATTTATTTATATTTATCTTTACATAATAGCAGGCCCCCAGTAGCTATCTAAAGTTAATGGTCCTTGTATTTCAACACCTCCCTCTCTCGTGATTATTCCAAGTTGATACTAAAAATTGAAAAATATAAATATTTCCTATAGTGTAACATAAGTATAAAATAGTATAAACATAAGGTTCTGATGTAATTATATAACTTACTTTCGGGAAAGATCGTGCATCTCTATAAAAAAGAACTTGCATTACTTTGTACAGAAGCTCAACTGCTTGTTCTTTAGTCATTTCTTTATTTTCTTCATAAGCTTTTCTTAAGATAGGTGTTGCCATATATGCACCATATCCAGTTGCTATTACTGGGTCACTATAACCTGTGCCAAGTTTATCCACAGTACCCAAAAACCTAAATGGAGAATGAAAAATACTATGCATGTATATAAAAGTAAAAGAAGAATAACAAACTTACAGTTTATCACCCTCCAAACCACCAATAATGAAATTATTCCAAAACGGATCAAAACGTGATCTTCTATTGTACATTACTTGAGTTAACCAACAGTGAAGAGCTTTTGGTTTTAAAGATAAACCATCATCCAAACATTCTTCTTCAAGACTATAAGAAGTAAAAAATTATAAAATTATTATAAAATACTAATTACATATATGTATATATAAAATATACATTTTTCTTTCAATGTTGCTCTTCAAGCACTGATAATCAGCATAATCTCCTCCTGCACCAAGGATAATATTGTCATTGACTTTCATCACACGTTCAAGATTTCTAAATCTTGCCAATGATCCATAGGAACCAAGAATATCTGCTGCTATAAGAACACCATCTTTAAATTGGATTCCAACTACAGATGTACCAGTTGTCATAGGGGCCCTATAAAGTAATAAAACACAATTCAATTTACAAAAAGATGAAGTCGTAGAGGTTGGAAAGGTTAGAAGAATTAAATTAAACGATATAATCTAAATTTCATGTTTTCTATCGAATCTTTATTTTATTAGAATATCGAAAACTTAGATACTTCAATTATTTGTATATGCTTATTAATTTTTATGAAATTGTAGATGACATGCAATATTTGAAAGAAACTTTCTAAAGCAAATTGAATAGATGATAAAGTATTTTACTGTGATCTTTGCAATCCTCCGACACCGGAATGTGTAGAACCTCCTGGGAAATGATAAAATGCACCAGGTGCAGGACCATTTTGCCACAAAGGAGCTGGAGTATACCAATCTGCTTTATTCAGAAGCGCCATGTTTCTTAGTAGTTTAAAACACTTTGAAATGTCATTTGGCTGAAGTATGATCCGAAGCCTGAACGACAAGCCTGCCTTTCAAAAAATAGTTCCTAAAGTCTTCATCTAGATATATTTCATTTTTCCTGAAAGTTGTTCTTTCGATTAATCTCGATAGTGGAATCGAATATCTCGATATTTCGATTCTCGAAGTTCAAAGATCTTGCTGAAACTCTAGAACTCTTGTGAGTGCATTAAATTACGATATTATAGGTAATTATTGCAGTACTATTATATGTATATTATTATAATACGCAATAGTTATAATATTGTTAATATACTACAGCATTTTATAGATATTTTATTTTATGTTTATGATACAATTGCAGAAAATATTTTGCTTTCAAAGAATTTATATATTCGTTGCAAACCTGGAATTATTACTTGATCATCATTTTACTTACGGAAAGCTGGGTGAAAATAAATTTTCCTATAACTAGTGCAAGGAAAATCAATACAAGACATGTTGTGATACATTAAAGGAAATGATAAAATATGCAGTAAGTGTAAATTATGTTAAGAAACTTATTTTACAATAATATATATGTATATTAAGATATTTTTTTAAGTTATCTTTAGCAGAAACAATATTTTAAATTTAAGGAAATTAAGGAGGAAGTTTAAATTCATTTCATATATTTTTAATTCAAATAGAAAATTTCTTTATTACTATATATACACGAATAATTATAATAATATGCCATTAGCATAAACAGTATGACATTCGGTAGGTTACATTTATTATTACAATAGATTAGCATAAACATAAAAATGGAAAAACAGCTTTAGAGGAACATTTTCGAAACAATAAAGAGAAGCAAATCAGTCCTTAGGATAAATGTATCCAAGTTTTATAAACTTTTTGGTACTATTTTTTCAGCCATTACCAGCTCACTTCAGATATAGTATGCAAGAGATATTAATATTATTAAAATAGAATTATGAGAAAATTTTGTGATGGAAGATGAATTATCGTTATATTCTTTACCCATGTTTACACTATCTTTATCGCTGATTACCTGACTATTTTCAGATACAACTATGTTAATCCATCTTAGTAAAGGATATGTCATATCTGTTAAATTTAAAGAGTCTTTAAAGAGATTTGCGCACTTTCCATGGAAATCGTCAGTATCGATGCTCCAAATCATTACACCGGCTAATTCTAAGCTCATCGCGTATTCGATCTGAAAGTTTTAGGAAAATATTATATTGTTGAAGTAACACGTGTAGTACTATCATTTGTTATCGTCGCTTGTAATAGATCAAACTAATCAACCTTTGCTTTTAAACTCCTCAGATTATCATATACTATAACATGATCATCGTTAATGACATAAGGTGTATCGCTAGTGTCATCCCAGCCAGAAGTCCAGTTACCTTTATGACTCACTAATTCTTCACAAATCTAAAAAATCGTACATGTTATCATTTTATTAGAACGAACAAATAGATAGATTATTATTAATAGAATTAACGTATCTAATCAATATAACAAAAGTAAAATGTACTTCATTATATCCCATAAAACCTTCTTGGTCAGTGTAAGGCCCCTTAAATCCATTTGTTATGGTTGTTCGATTAATTGGACTTTCTTGGGAAGAATTTAATTTGCTTGCCAATATATAAGTTCTACCATACATAGGCAGGCCTAAGATTGTTTTATTTGCTGGTGCACCTTTACTTAACAAATAATTAAGTGTCTCCATCTGAAAATTTTATTGCATTATGTGTTCCATCTACGATACTTGTTACTCGTTGTAATTTTTCTATATGTTTTACCACGCTTAGACCGTCTCCACTTCTTAATGGTGCATTCGGAAGCACTTTCTTATCCCATGATCCGTGATAATCGTACGCCATTACATGGATATAGTCGAGATATTTGGAAATTTCGGGAATATCGTATGCCGTATCGATAATTGCTTTATTAGAACCTAAAGCTGCTGTTAGTAGATAGTTCGACTCCTTGAATGCTTCTTTTAATTGCTATTAGAATAGAGAATACGATTAATTTCTGGCTAAGATAAAAGAACTGTAATTTCGATAAAATTACATTACGTTACGTCGTTTACCTTCACAAGAAGGGCAAAATATAATTTGTCTTCTGGACTACCACCCCGTGATCCTGGATATTCCCAATCCAGATCGAATCCATCGAACTTGTATTCCCTGCAAGATAGAAGCTATCATATAAATCAGCAAAGTATAAAACTATCTTAATATTCGATTCCATACTCAAGGAAGTCCACTACGCTCTTAACGAATATAGATCTTCGTGTAGGGGATGAAGCGAGTATAGAGTAATTTTTACTACCCTCGTTCCATCCTCCGATTGCGAGTAGGATGTTTAGACCTGGATACTGTTCACGAAGTTCGGTCATTCTTTTGTAATTATCTGGAATATTATGACGGCTATAGAACGAAAATGCCATTCATAGATGTGGAATATAGATATATCTTCAATCGTATCGAGTAATTTACAATATGTATCTACCCTTGTCAATATCTATGTTGGGATCGAGGCTCGTAATGGTCCATGTTTTGCTGTCTAATCCGGCGAACGCGTATATGATGTGCGTGCAAAGTTCCGGACGGATATAAGGGATTCCAAATTTTCCATCATTATTTCTATAAACGGCCCAGGAGGCGACATAACAAGTTACTACCTTGTTATGCTTAATCCCTAATCGAGCTTAGTGGAGAAAGAAATGTAGTTTTAATGTACAATTATTACAACTTCTTTTCTCTTTTCGCAAAAAATTCATTTCCATGTATATACATATGATAGATTATTTTTTTAACCATGTTATTTTTTATCGGTAAAATATGCGAACATAAATCATTCATAAAATATGCCCGCGCGCGCTTTTGTTATTTATTTGATGTAAATATGAAGAACATTAAGTCCTTGAAATAACTTTCTATTAAGTTATGAATTATAGAAAAGTATTTTCAGTGATTTACATATCTTCGAGGAATGAAGTTAAACAAAGGTTCCATCGAAATGTCAGATTTCCATTGCATAAGCTACCGAACAAAATGTCAAACGTATTCTAGACTTTCCTCCTCGTTGCATAGTGTGTCACCAAATAATAGCAATGTAATTTACAGCCGGATCACATACAAACTTTTGTATTTTATATATATATATACATATATACATAGAATTTGGTAAAAAGATTGGCTTATCTTATGCCTAACTGCTTTAATACATCATTTATTGAAAAATTTCAGCACATATTATGATGGCTGAATATTGTACTTATAACGAATGGTAAAAGTTGATATTTGAATACTCGTTTCGATCTTCTATTTTTAATTTTAATTTAAATTTTAAATGTCGTATTTTATGCCTCGTTCACTTTATCAACATTTTTAGCATCACGTTTACCATAAATAATTGTAGTTTTATGAATTTTATTTAGTAGAATTATTCCTTATTAAAATTTTATCCCTTATTAGAAACAAATTTGGTCCTCTTTCACCATCGTTCTTTGGATGTAAATACCGTTTGAAATTTAAGTTACGCGCTATCGTGTTAATGTTAAGGGAATGATTTCAATTTAGTACGTACTCACCTAGAATACCATTGCTACAGAAGAATAATACTGTAAGCAGAGATAGGAAGATACAGGCCTTCATTATCGAGAACCGCTACACGAATGCCGAGTTATTGTCCTGGTAGATAGCTTTCACTTGACCACAATACGGTACTTCAATCCTCGGAGAAAAAGAAAAGCATTCGTGCGTGTAGCTTGAAAAAGGACGGAGCTAAAACCTGTTGTTGAAAACTCTTGTACAATAAAAGTGTAGAGCAAACAGTAAAGCTTTAAATATATACTATGTGACGAATTTTTAGATAGATATCAGGAGATAACCGAATAGAATGATTCTATCGACTTCCGTTATAGATAGTGGTTATTGATAATCAAGGAAATACATATAAGAGTTATTCATAACCGCTGACATGGACCCAACACTAATTATTATTTCTTGTTATATTATATATATATCACATTTTCCAAGAACGAATTATTCAATAAAAAGAAGATGTTCTTATTCGATACTTTGCGAAGAAGAATTTTATAATTTTATTGAATAATTTGATCTTAGACATTACGTCAGATGAATGAAATTTAATATTTTTGTTAAGGTTGCTGCAATAAGTATCGGCTTCCATAGGCTGCGAACTTCTTTGTGAAAAAATCAATTAATATTATTGTAGCAAGTAATTGTCCTATTAATGACATGTTTATCTTAAACAATTTTTTAATGAATCATAGAGTTTTGTATGAAAATAAATTTCGAGAAAATGCAGTCTCGGGGTACTAATAAAACGTAATACGTAGTTGTTTTCTGCGCCTTCGCGGCAGCCATGCAAACTAAAATTTGAAATTTCTCCATTTCGCGCGGCGTCATTTAGAAAGTGGAGGCAACCGTAGAGAGCTCGTCAAAAATATGGAAAATTTAGTATACAACGATATGTCACTGCTTCAAAATGGTGAGAATCTCGATTTTAATCATTCTGTATGCACAGTTATTATCATATTCCGGGCAGATCATGAGAATTCTCGTGTTTATTTTATTCCTTGAGGCCGACCACGAAATTTTTCATATTTTCATCGTCGTCATTTAGAAAAAAGCGATTTAATCATACTCTTGCTATAGTTAATAATAACATGACTTGTAAAATGGCAATATGTTAATACAAGTTAGAATGATTTGTCATATTTCCATGTAAACAGACGAATATCGAAATTTTCAGGAAAATCCGAATAGTATTTGGGTACTGGTAGAACGTGATACATTCTTGAATTACCCGCACTCTGGTGGTGAGTTTGGAAACTAAAATTTGAAATTTTAGCGATATTTTGCGTGGTGTCATATTGAGAAGAGGAAGTAACTGGTAAGACTTTGTCGTAAATGTGGATATACAATACGAAGTCATTGTTCCAAAATAGTTAGAATCCTCATTTGGTTCGTTTTATATTCATAATCCAATGTAATGTATAGTGATTAGTAATTTTTAGCACACCTTTTCGTGTATTGTGCCTTTTACCTATTGCAAGGTATCTTTAGCTGACAAAAAAAAGTGTGCAATACTTGATTCAGACAAAGTAGTTTTGGAACTTCAATAACAGATATTCACAGTTACAATTTGTTTACATTGGATGCATTATGGAATATTCATAGATACTTTATATCTATTACGAAATATTTTATAATGCATAATAATATTTTAACTGTATCATATAACTACATATTTCATATCCTTAGTATGATATCCGTGTGTCTATGGTAAATGAATAATAGTTGATTCATAGTTTTGAAAGGTAGTATTTTCATAAAACATCGTTTCATTAAAGATAAAGGAGAAGATTTGTTTATACATTAATGTTCCAAAGTTAGTTTAAATGTTTGTTTGTAAATGGTGGGTGGTAACAGACACTAGCAGTCTTGCATGTGTGCGTTGTGCATCAGGCTCTTAAAACTCGCTCAACCCTGGTTTATAAACATAAGATAAATGACCGGCAATTAATACTGACGCATACGTTCCCACAAACGCGCAACTATTGGCAAAAATCATTTTAGTGATTTTTATTATTATCATCATATATTTTACTTATCAATTATCATTATTGTATATTATACTATACTATCAGTATATTGTCGTATACTATCGTATATATTAAAATCTAGTTCCAATTCCGATCGCTATGAACGCTGTAATCCTGTTCTATACTGAATCGATAATGTTGTGAATATCATTAAAATGGTAAATGATTTCAGACCCTCAAGATATGAAATGCAGAAATACATTAACTGATAGATCTATTCTGCACCTCGTCTGTGGTCATATCTCTATTAATATGTAGAAAAAAATATATTTCGGAGATTATTGAAAGCATAATTTCGACTAAAAATCGCTGAATGTTAACAGAGGCATAGGATGTGAAAGGAGATCTTCACCCACCATGATGTCTGTAGTACCACTCGTAAAAGAAAGATAGAGAAAGATGAATTACCAGTAACTCTATATAATCATACGGTTTTATTATTACATAATGAATTAAGTTACTGAAAACTAATGAATTGTTCCTCTCTTAAACCAAAATTGTATACTTTTAGATTTTCGTTGTAGAAACTGATTTTTAAATAATTTTTTGATGCATATTTAAGGCCGAACTTCTTATCGAATGTTATATACATTATATACATGTATCTACACTTGTTAATATATAATTTTCTGTTTAAAAAGAAATGTATTCTTCGGAACTATATGAAAGTTCAGGTATTTAAACAATTCTATATATATAAGTTAGTCTCGTAAGTAATTAATTGAATAATTTTTTTTGCCGATTTTATTTAAGGAGGTGTAACTTACGAGATATGTACATATCTACTCTTATCAAAAGATACATCCTCTTTTTATAGTTCGTACTGCTCGTCTATGACGTCACAGAGTGGGCGGGGCTGTGTAATATAAGAAATAGAAGTACCTTATTCATTCTATACTCCTGTTCACTACCGGCTAGTTTGAATCAGAATTTATACTCTCAGTAGGTACATATTTAGTTGTTTCTGTATGTGAATGTAGCTTTTTTAGTTTCTGATATTTGAAGCTAATAATTCCAAACATTTTCAATGCAAGTTTCTTAATAGATTTTTGCAATCCTGGATATTTTACATTAACATTAAATATTTTACAATTGATATTGATAGTTAATAATCATAATGTATATACAAAATCAATTGCTATATATAATTATAATTAATTTATGCATTTCTTATTTTCATCTTCAATAACATACATCTGCAAGTTTAGACATTCTGTTTTTATAGTTTTCAATGGAAGTAAATTCTTGTTAGTCATATCAGGGACATCTTCATTGATAATCCATGGAAAATCTTCACAACAAGGATTTTCACTTAAAGTTACATGTGCAGTTTCGTATGTTTTAATTTCAATGAAGAAAGATGAATCTTCTGGCAATGGTTTTAAATAAGATTCACACATGGATAGTTTCAAACAAATTGTTCTCAACGATTCTTCTGTTTTTAGATAGTATGGATCTTTTCTAAAATAAATTTCAGATTAGACAATAACATAATGCTGACATTATAAGATTCTTCACAAGCATACATACTCTGTGCTATTTGCTTGCAATTTTACAAGATCAAAGACAAATTTTTCAATTGGTTCTTTCCTTTTATTACAGAAGACCAGATTTACCGCTTTGACACTATTTTCATCCTCTTTTATTAATTCTCTGATTGCATTTAACACATTTCTTATGTATTCATTGAGCTCAGGATGTTCAGACACATATACACATATGCTGTATATCTTCTTCTTCACAAATATTTCCTTGGGATATAAATTTCTGAAGAACAGAATGTGATTAAATGCTACTTCTAGAAATTCCAGTAGGATATCAGTAGTAACTATAAATAAAATAAGAAATACGTTCCATTACTTATCATCTTATTTATATTTCTCATAAATCAACAAATAATATTTACCTATTTTATTATCAGACATTTTTTAATATATTTATAAAATGATAAAAATATATAAAAATATAGATAAAAATGTGTTAGTAGTTTCAATAAAAGAATATTCAATCTTCTATTCTCAGTGTAGGTAATTTTCTCTTGTTGATAACTTTTTATATGTTCATATCTAAAATGATATAACAAAAATGATATTTATGAAATTTCTATTATGTATATGCGAACATATTTAATATTGTTTGTTCGAGAAAGATTATTGCTTTATTTTTAATAAATAACATGGTAAATAAATTCCAAAAAAATATATATATATTAACTTAAACGCGAGAAATTATTTAGCGATTGATTTGACGCGTGCCTAGACCAAAGCCGACTGCATATGGCGGTCAGTGTATACCAGAAACGGTTAGTGTTTTGATGATACATTTTCATCTGTTCACGAAAGGTGTCGATGGATTCTTGAGTTCAGTGAGCTTGAAAACGCGACAAGTTTTTTTCGCAGTCAGATAATGTTGTAGAAGAAGCACAGTACTTTACAACATTTGCAGCGGCATTTTTCATAACCTCAACAGTCAGGAACAGTACGGTACTTTTATGTGAGTATATACATACATAGTTTTTGATATACGAAACTGTTCATTTGTTAAATACTAAGCTTTAAGTCGATACATTATTTACGATTATTTTTATATTACTAAACTTTCGAAAATATATGGTTTACAAAATTGATTATTTTATGTGGTACTTTCGTTTTATTTTTATTCTGTAGTGTTGTGCGATTTTCTCATGGCGCGAAATGGAACATGTAATAAATCGAATTTGAAACATATGCATTGTGTTTAAGATAATTTTGCGTAAAGTTTTAGTATAAAATCAAAATAAGATAAAAAGTATCAACATGGAAATATTTGAATTTAATTACTAAAAATATATTATCTGTTTGTTAATATTTTAGATAAAAATGCCGCCAGCAAAAAAGACTGATTTAGACAAATTAGCATGGGCTTGGGTAGAAAGTGTGGTATTAGACCAAATAGAAAGGATACATTTGGAAACTGCATATAGAATAGGTTTAAAAGCATGTAAAAATTGCAAGTAAGTTATATGCTTATTTAAAACATTATATATTCATATGAAATAGTATTCTTTTCGATCATATTAAAATAAATGATTTGTTTACAGACGCAATTGCACAAATAATCCACAATGTTTGACTGGATTAGGAGAAGAAAAGTATATGAAGTCGCAACCCGCAGAAGTAATGCCTTTAGAAAGTTCTTTATCTGAATTACGTGACCCTACCCAATATGTTGGTCTAAAGAATTTAGGTGCAACTTGTTATGTTAATAGCTTAATTCAAATGTGGTTTCATAATGAAGATATGAGGTATGTACTTATTAATACTATTAATATTTAGCTTATATTTCATTTATTTGCAAATATCTACTACAAATTGAAATTTCATATTTTCAGGAGGATAATATACAAGTGGGATATCACAGAAGATCCAGAGGAAAGGGAAGCAGTGTGTCAAGCTGAGAAGAAAGGAGTACCGTTTCATCCAGTGACAGCAGTAGGACAGTTGCAATATATATTTGCAATGATGCAATTCGGCAATCGTCGTCTGCTCGATCCTATGAATCTCGCGATCGCATTGTCTTTGGATACTAGAACTCAGCAGGATGCACAGGAATTCTCCAAGCTACTTCTCTGCCATATCGAAGGGAAACTCCAACAAAACTCAGAACTGAAGCAGATGCTGCAGAGGCTGACCCAAGGAAAATACAGCTATATCAATTGGTGGGTTTTCTGAAGTGGAAAACAAATGAGAATTGTCCTAAACGATGATGATGCTGATGATCTTGACGATGAGAACATGGTAGGACACGTTGCTCGCTGCGGTGACTGGTGCGATCAACTGATCTGACCGAGAGAAGCTAATTCCGTCTAAATAACACGAGTTTTATGTTTGACGCAGTTGCTCTAAATGCGGAACTGAATATCCAACCTCCACTACATTCTACGAATTGGATCTACAACTCGCAGCCACTCTGAAAGAGGCAGTAGAGAAATACTTATCTGTGGAACAGTTGACTGGAGCAAATCAGTATCATTGCGTTACCTGCAATGACAAAAAAGATGCGCGCCGGTTTATACGCTTGGAATCTCTTCCAGAAACATTAAACATACAATTAATGCGTTTTGTGTTTCATAGGTACTTTTATTTTAATACGTATTAAATTATATTATACTATTAGATTGTTACATATGTTAATAGAATATGTTACTTTGCTTTGTTAGGGATTCCGGGCAGAAAAGAAAGTTGAATTCTTTTATACAATTCCCGGAAGATCTGGATATGTCAGAATATGTTAGGTGTCCGCCACAAACTCATTTGTACAATCTCGTCGCAGTTTTAAGTCATAAAGGCCCATCTGCACATTCAGGTCACTATATTGCGAATATATGCAATTCAAATGGTGAATGGTATCAATTTAGTGACGATAAAGTGGAAAAAATGCAGAATAAAAGAATCGAGGATGGTGTTAGTGGTGAGTACAAATTTTATTATAATATAATAAAGAAATTATTTAATAAAACGATAAAATGTAGTTAGAATTTTTTATTACAGAGAATTCGAAGGTAGTAAAACGGGGACGTATACCGAAAGGATTTTTGTCTTCTAATACCGCGTATATGTTAGTTTATAAGAAAGTCACACCAGAAAAACGAACATGTAGTACAAAGAAAAATAAGTTGAAAAAGTTAGATGGAGAAACCAATAGTAATAATAATGCAACAGCTATGGAAAAGATTTTAATAGTTCAAGAAAAATCAGACTCATTAAACGAAGAGAAACACAGATGCGATACAATGTCAGGTGTTTCTGATATAAATAATTCTGAGAAAATATTGAAACCTGATATGGAGAGCAAACAGGAAATGGAAACCTTGAAGGCATCTCCAGAAAATGTTGCAATGGCACAGTCTGTGAACGCAGATTCTACCTTTGATGAACAAAATGGCAAACATTACGAATTCGACAATAAAGAAAATAAGCTCGATGTGGATACGAAGAAACCAGTTGTAAAAGTTTTGAAATTGGACTACAAGCGGTTAAATGGTGCTGCGCATAGAGCTATGAGTTGTGGGGAACGTGATTTTTACGAAGAGGTTGGTATATTTAGTTTTTCTTTTATTTCTCTTATGGATATTCATATGGACTCATTATCTTACTTTATAGATGGAGTTTGAAAATTGGGAAGTGAGTACAACGTTGCGTGACTTAGTGAGGCAAGAGAATGTGAAACACGAATTAAGTTTATTGGCTATTCAACAAGAAAAAGTAGGTATTAATAACAGCAACAGATTGAGTTTAATCAGTTAAGAAGCATTCTCAACGATGTTTCTTGTAGCAAAAGGAGATCGAAGATCAGAATTTAAAGAGACAACTTGTCATAGACGTGTATAATATTATTTCGAACATAGTTTCGTGGGACACATATCAATGGATTCCAAACGATTGGTTATCAAAATGGCTCAATGGACACTTATCTGTCGATGGAGTACCACCAATAGACAATTCTACATTAATGTGTTCGCATTATCGACTTGATCCCTTGAAAGTGAATCGTGCAAAGTGTATACCTGTCACAGCTGCGGATTTACTTTATGATAAATATCGTGGAGGACCGCGATTAGATGAAAATTCTTTTTGCGAAATTTGTGTGAAACGTCGGTACAAGCTACTTCGTTTCAAGATATCGCTTGAACGTGATCACAAGGAAGTTAGTGAACTCGTTCGAAATTTCAAAGAACCGTGAGTCTCCTGTATTAATAATAATTTTAAAACGAACGCATTATTTTGTAAAAGAAAAATAAATTTTATTTTCATGGTAACAGATCTGAGACTAGTTATATCGTGGGTGCTGATTCGCTGAGATCATGGCGAAGACTTGCGATGGAAAAATTTACGGACGATATGGAGCAGGAAATTGAGGATGAAGATTGTCAAGATCCGAGTGGTTCGCAGGAAGATAGTAAAAGTGGTACAAGTAAAGAAAGTGAAGGACTGAAAGAACCGGTGGAAGGTGAAGAGAACGAAGTCATAATCTATTTCAATGAAGATTTACTTTGTGAGCACAGTTCATTGAAAACACCAGATTCGACAAGAAAAATAGTGCCCCGTGAAGCTTGGGTGATACTTCGAAAATATTTCCCAGAGTCCAAGGAGTACTCTATTGGTGCCGCGTCATGTTCGATTTGTGAGGTACTTTTTCGTACATATTTGTATATTTAAATAAAGATAAAACATTTTGATATATGCATGTATATTGATCTATCTTACTGTTCAGGAGAAAATGGAGAACGCGCAGAAAGCAAAAAAGGACGACAAGATAAAAGCCAAACAACAAAGGGACGAGTTAAACGACTTGTATCACGGCCGAAATAGGAACGAAATATTGAAGTGTGAAGATCCAGAAAAAACATTTTATATCGTCGAGAAGGGTTTTTTGGACAGTTGGCGTTCCTTCATTCGGTGAGTCTGATTATTTGTGTGTTTTCAACATTCTTAGCCTATTCAATTTCATTGAACAATTATGACTAATGAACAATATAAAACGCTTTATTTCGAATTCGTATTAAATTATTCGTATTAAAGTACCCTAAATTCTTAGGGTACTTTATGTTACATATTTTGAAATATCGCTCTCAAAATATCTTATGTCTGCTAAAATTTGCTACAGTAAACATATAAATTAGTAAACTCAATATTGCATGTTTTAAAATAAAATATGCTCTATGATTCGGCCTTCTGAATGTAGGAATTATATATACGGATAGCACTTATATCATATATGTTTGTATGAATGTGAGAAATTTCTATATTTCGAAGAAAGAATAGAGGGGTGGGGGAGGAAGTGTAGGGCACAGAAGCAGGTTAGAAAGGGAAGGAAGAAAGACGATAGAGGGAGAAAGGAAAAAAGAGAAGAAAGAGGACATAAGTCAATAGTTCTATGCCTCTAATATTTCTCCTTATTCAAAGCAAAGGAAACCAATAAATAGATTCATATACTTAATTATTAGAAAAGTATTCAATACGAAAATAATATTATCGATATTCAAACTTGAGAGAGAGGGAGTTGTCTTTCAAAAGACATTTTTATCTTACTATACATAATCATGAAACAAATTCATAGAATTTTTTCAAATTCCAAGTTGAAAAGATCTGAGTTCCTGAATCTTGAAAGATCAGTGTCCCTCACAGTAATAAGAGCAAGTAGATATGTAACGAAAGCTAACACACAGGGAAACAGCGAGGAGAGAAGAAAGAAAGAGGGAGGAAGAAGATAGTAGGGACGCATTAACGAGCTTT